GTGTCACTGGCCCTCATATGTGGGATCCGAACCGGGGCCCTCTGGCGTCCCAAGCCAGTTCTTAACCATCGCGCCACTTGGCCGGCCCCTCCAAGAAACTTTTAACAAGAATTCATGGTAGGTCAGAAAATCATCTCAAACGGGGCTGCTGTGGCGGTGTAAAACTCCAAAAAGCAAAATTCTAAACAGTTTAAGAGGAAAGTGGGGGCAATTTCTTCTGTTAAGGGAAGGTAATAGCCACTTCTTGGGGAAGTATCGTCTAGGTGCTTCTTTCAGTTTCACAGAGTGGTCTGATAAATATGAACCTGTTCCCAGAAGCAAAGCCTTTTACACTCGAGTTCCCAGTAGAATACATGGGACTGACGTTTCTTTCTCTTTGCTTAGAACAGCCTGATACCCACATTGCGTGGCTGTCTTCCCAGGAGCATCTTTCTTTCTGTTCGTATGAAGAACCTGACTGAGCCCCTAAATCAGATTCGACTTTTATCCCCCTCCGACCTTGTTGCCTTCGGTTAACTTTATTAACTGTCTAGACATTTTATATCAAGATCAAATAACAGTCTGCATATAAGCATTTATTTTGATGGGTTTGCAATTTAGGATTCTTCTCATGTTCTCTCCCCCTCCCCCACTTTAAAAAAACCCTATTAACCTTTACTGTGTTTGTGTTTAGTTAATAGTACCAAGGGTAATTTCTTTTAAACCTTTGTCCTTCAGACTCCGGATTTCTATGTGCAGATGAAATGGGAATTCACCAGCTGGGGTGAGTGGCTGTGGGTTTGTAATTTATTTCTTTTTCCAAATTTATTTAGCCTGAATCTAGGTTCATTTTTCCTTTATAAAAGTTATGTGTTTTAAATCTAGGAAATGCATAGATGAGAGTAAGGAAAAATAGTCACCTGTGGCCCCACTGAAGCACAACTACCGTTAATGCTTTGGGTGTTTTCCAGTCTTTTTTCCCCCGCACATAGGACTTTTTCTCCCAAGCATCCATAAATATAACATATAGACGTGTTTGTCTCTTTTGTCACTTATAGCTGACATTTATCCATATTATTAGTTCTTAAAAGGATAATATTTTAGTAAATAGATTTGCCATAATTTAGTTACTCATTTCCTTATGTGGTTCCAACTTTATTCTTTTAAACTTATTCTAAGAAGATGAGATGAATGTTGGAATAGCTTGTTGTTTTACAAAATGGATGTATTTCTCCAAAATCTTATGTAAGGCAACTTGACTGACAGTAATTTTCATAGATGTTCTACTTTTATTTCTTGTAGATCAGTAACAATANAATGCTGATATGTGCTTAAGAAATCCCCCACATTCCGTGTCGTGGGGGGTGCTTGCATTTCATGAAAGCCCCTTGCCTTATCTAGACTTAATTTGAGTGCAGTTGAGAACTTAAGGTTGTGTTCAATGAGCTGAGGCCTATTGCCAGCAATTATTTATAAGATACTTAACTTTATAGAAAAAGGAACTCAGTAACTGTCATCTTTATAGCCCCCAAATTCATATTTCAACCGTGCCCACATGGAAGCATTCATTTTTCTATATAGTGGTGTAATTAATGTGTAAATACCGTTTTCTCTTTTTATACTGATACTGTCTCTCCCAACATATCACCATATTTTTATATAATACCTCCAATTATATAAGCGCCACTGTTTATTTTACAGAATGTGGAGGCTGTGGATCCACGAGGTCGAACCTTATTGCATCTGGCTGTTTCTTTGGGACATTTAGAATCTGCTCGAGTCTTGCTCCGTCATAAAGCAGACGTTACAAAAGAAAATCGGGAGGGATGGACAGGCAAGTATACTTTTAAAAATCATTGAAAGCCTTTCGTTTTGGTTACTCTTTCTGAATAAAGACCAGTGCAGTCATCATTGTCCTCAGAGTCATCTTGATCTTAAGACTTTCTCTCTTGGGACTAGGGGCTGGCCGAGGAGATGAGGGCCTCAGATGCTGCTGGCTGATCTGTGGCACAATGGCCCGAATTGTGTCCTGGGCCAAAAGCTCTGGGTAAACTCCTCATCTAGAAAACAGCTCTCAGTGCAAACATTTTCCACCACACACAAGTGGGGAGACCCGATTTCCCCTGAAGAATGTGATGGTAACTCCAGTGAATCCATCAGGATGGGCAAAATCAAAAAGAAATTATGACTAGAAGTGGTCTTTTCCAGTGAAACCCTAGCATTGCACTTTTTTTGCAAGCTCTCTTACTGTTGTTGAGAGTAATTTTGTGTTGCTGAGCCAGGATATGCACAAGCACAAGCCCTGCCCGCAGTTGTGTGATCACATAGCTAAAGCCAGCTCTCTGAAGACATTGTCAGGATTTCAGAACCAATGATAAGAAAGAGGGGTGAGCGGAGGATGGAAAGGTTTGACCAAGAGGATAAGAATGCTCTATTTCTTTCTCTTTTCATTCATTTAAGAGTTAGCAATAAGAAGTCATGGTCATAAATGATAACGTGGGAAGAAAATGTTGGTCTGGGATTTGTATAGATATTTTTCAGACTGGCTTTGGAATGTGTCAGAAAGCCTGAGAATACTAGGTGATTAAACTTCACCTTTTTGTTTTCCAGTTCTACACGAGGCCGTGAGCACTGGCGACCCCGAGATGGTGTATACAGTTCTTCAGCACAGAGATTACCACAACACATCCATGGCCCTCGAAGGAGTTCCTGAGCTGCTCCAAAAAATTCTCCAGGTATCCACAAAAATGTGGCATTGCCATCGTTTGAGTTAGAGGCCGACATGATAGCTGGAGACACAGCTTGACATTCTTGTGTGGCTTCCTCAAGAGTTTTATGAATTGTGAATATGATCTATTGAATACTAAATAGCACTATTTCTTGNAGTTGATGGACATTTGTTTTTCCCCTGCTTTTTGGCTGTTATGAATAATGTTGCTATGACATTTGTGTACAAGTTTTTGTATAGTTGTATGTTTTTATTTCTGTTAGGTAAATACCTATGAGAGAAATTTCTGGGTCATATGGTCACTCTATGTTTAACTTTTTGAGGCGTTACCAATTGTTTTTTCAAATTGGTCGTACCATTTTACATTCCCACCAGCAGTGTATGAGGGTTCCAATTTCTCTACATCCTTGTTAACACTTGTTATTGTCTGTCTTTTGATCGTAGCCATCCTAGTGGATGTGAAGTGGCATCTCATTGTGGGTTTTTTGGGTTTTTTTTTTTTTTAGATTTTATTGGGGAAGGGAGACAGCCAAGTTGTAGTCCTTCAGTCTTAGTTGTGGAGGACACAGCTAGCTCAGCTCCAAGTCCAGTCGCCATCCGGCCGCCCGTCAGCAGCTCGTGGCTGCTCAGCTCAAGGTGCCGTATTCAATCTTAGTTGCATCTCATGCGGGAGTTGAACCGGCCACCTTGTTGTTAGGAGCATGTGCTCTCACCAGCTGAGCCATCCTGCCACCAGTTGGCAGCTCAGTGGCAGCTCAGGTTGGGTGCAGCTCGCTGGCCCATGTGGGAATCGAACCTGCGACCCTGTTGCTCAAAGCCCGTGCTCTTAACCTTCTGAGCCACTCGGCCAGCCCTCATTGTGGTTTTGATTTGCATTTCCCTGGTGATCTAAGAGAACATCTGTGTCTTTTTCCTGATCTTAGAGGGAAAGCATACAGTTTTTCTCCATTAAGTATGATGTTAGCTGTGGGTTTTTCATGGATGGATACTCTTTTAGGAAGCTCCCTTCTATTCCTGATTTGTTTAGTGGGGTTTTTTCTTTCTTTCTTTCTTTCTTTTTTTTTTTGGTCTTAAAATCATGAAACAGTGTTAGATTTTGTCACATTCTTTTTCTGCATTGTCTTAAGTCTGGGCTGCTGTAACAAAATACTACAGACTGGGTAGTTTATAAACAATAAAATCTTATTTCTGACAGTTCTGGAGGCTGGAAGTCTGAGATCATGGTTCCAGCAAATTTGGTGTGGTGACTGGTGAGGGCTCTCATCCTGGTTCATAGCAGATGCCTCCTTACTGTATCCTCAGTGAGACCTTTTTTTACAAAGACACTAATTCCTAATTCCATTTATAAGGGCTTCATCCTCATGACCTAAACAACTTCCAAAGGCCCCACTTCTTAATATCATCATTGTTGGAGGTTAGGATTTCAAAAGAATTTGGGGGGGAGGGATACAAACATTCAGACCACAGTGTGACTCTATTGAGATCATCATGTGTTTTATTAAATTTTATTTTATTCCATTGATACGGTGTATTGCATTAATTGATCATCAGATGTTAAACTACCCATGCATTTTTGGGGTAAATCTCACTTGGTCATAGTGTATAGTACCCCCTCTTATATGTCACTGAATATGCATTGCTAATATATTGGTGGGGATTTTTTGCATCTATATTCATATGAGGTATTTATTGGTCTGTGGTTTTCTTTTTCTGTGATGTGTTTGTCATCAGGATAATACCGGGCTCATAAAATGAGCTGGGAAGTTTTTCATCCTCTTCTTTTTCTTTTTTTAATGGAAGAGTTTGTGAAGAATTGATATCTTTGAAAGTTTGGCAGAATTCACC